GCTGAACCCTGAGGAGATAGTTTAGTGCTGCTCAGTGGCCCAGCAATACCGTCCAGGACAACCCAGCAGGGCAGTACCAAAAGTGTTTGCTCTGTTTCATTCACAGTGTGTCCTTCTGCAGTCCAACTATTGAGCCAACACATCCATTCTTCCCTTCTAAGCCTTCCTTACAGGATAGGACTGACCTGCACGCCTCATCTTACTTCAAAGCAAACTACAACATTTCAACACGGCTTGTAAAATGATGGTAAGCATCAATCTTTTTTTCAAGAGGTTCAGAGTATTACCTTGGAAACACTTCAGAGAAGGGGCGGGGGGGGGAAAAGACCACATACTACAAAGTGCAAAATAGTCACTGTGAGGTTATTATTGCTGAAGTGCTGTCAGGGCCACTTTTATCAAATGGATAATTTCTGATCTTCAACTAGGTAACAGGAATTAGAGAAGAAAAAGACACGTGGAGTTTTCCAGACATAACTCCAAAGGCTGTAACCTGGACTGGACAGTCACCTGCAGGACATTCATGCGCTGCCTATAGCGGCGTAAAGAAGAAAAGGCCACCGAAGTAACCGCGATGCCTTTATGGCACCTCTGCCCCCGTCTTACCAGTGTAAAAGGCGTGTTGAGGAGCGTGATCATGAGATCGGCTACAGCCAGGTTGACAATGAACAAGCTGGTGGCGGAGTGCATGCGCTTGGTCTTGACGACAACGTGGCAGACCAGGACATTGCCGAAGAGGGAGAAGACGATGATGAAGGAGTACGCCGTGACGAGCAGGGCTTTCACCGTGATGCTCTGTGACTCCGCTCCGTACCGGCTCCTGCCCACGAAGCTCTGCCAGTCGGCTAGGCTGTCGTTATCCCAGGAAAAGAAACCCGAGATGTTTGGGATTTTAAAAGGCTCATCCAGAGTCCTGTGGAGGGACAATTTTCCTGCGGCAGCAAAGGCATTAACCAAGTCAGGGAAGGAGACCCAGACGAAACAGGACAGCATCTCCGAAACGCTGCTCTGCTCCTCCAGTTTGGAAGTAGCTCATTTGTGAGAGCAGAGCCGAGGCTGTGTGCCGGGAGAGCCGTCCTCGCCTCGCTCAGCCCAGGCGTGCTCGGCGGCTGCGGATGCAGACACGGCACACAAGCCGCAGAGCGAGCGGGGGCCCCCGCCCGCGAGCTCCTCTCCCGCTCTGCTCGCTGATACTTTTGCTCCTTCAGCCAGCTTTATACCCCCCGGGCGAGCTCCGAGCCAGGATCTTCTGCAGCCATTGGGCAGCATGGCATTATTTCTGCTCTGACGTGCTGCTTTTCCACGCTCTCACGCTCCCCCGGGCGCTACTCCGAGACAAGCACATCTGTGAGAAAGGCAGATCGATCTCTCCAGTCGTCAGCATCCTTTCTCTCCACCAGCAGCCCAGCTATGCAAACACCGTGCTGTTTAGAAACCAGTAGCATGCACGCCAGCTCTGCTGTCTTCCAGGACGCAGTTCAAATTTAAGCTCGGTTTTAAAGGTCTGGCAGGCAAGTTTCAGCCTATTTATTTCACAGCATGACACTTGCTAACTAGCACAGAATGGGGGAACAGCAGATGAATTGTGAACATAACAAGCCAGCTTACTGTACTTACAGTATTTTTCCAAAGACCTTTTTTCCCTCAGACAGACAGAGAAATACTTAAGCGTTGCCTTGGCAGGGATTTCATCTTGGCCAAGAGGATAAAAAGCTTGATGTGAAACTGTGCTTTCTAGGTCTTGTTAGAAATACAGCAGTAGTTACAAAGAGGTGATTATATGCGACAGAGGATGGGAAGGGATATCCCAGCCCAGTAAGCCCAGTATCCACAGCAACAAGCAGCTGCACGCTGGACCCAAGCACTGGTGAGATGGCAGCACGCATGTTCCCTGAGGCTTCCCCCAAAAACCACCGGGAAATTTAAGATCAGTAGCAAGAGACCAAGAGGCACAAATCCTGTGCAGCACAGAAAGATGAGATGTGCCCCTCCACAAGGGCGGGTGGAAGGGGCTGCCCCGCTGCTGGGGACAGATCTGCTTGGGTGGTGTCAACTAACCCGGGCCAGAGCGGGTTTCGTACAGGAAAGGCTTTATTTAACCATGAATTAAAAGACCATTATCTAAAAAGCTTATATTATAAGCCGGTCATTCACTGGTGAGAATACCACTTCCAGAAGATGCTTGTGACCCCCCCAGGGAACCACTCAGGCTGCTTTCTCCTCACCGCTGTGCAGGGGCTGAACACAGCTGGACAAGCAGCACGGCCAGCCCGCAGCGCTCCTCTGCAAGCTGCTGCCAGCATCAATTTCTTCCACAAAATTGTCCAATTCAAGCTCTTTCAGCAGTTTTCTTGTCTCAGAGGAAGCTTTCCAGGGAAGCTGCTGGAGCTGTAAGGTGGCAGTCACCTGTGACCATTCAGAGAGAAGAAAGAAATCTGTGTCCAGCTCAGAAATGCTGGGCCAGTGAGGGCGTTCCCTGACGTGATGCTGCCAGGAAAACAGTCTCACAATGTAGCACAAGGCCCAGGGAAAGGGCAGAAAATTGGGCAGGGCAGTGTTCTGGTGTGGGTTTGGGATGAGAACAGAGCGGTCGGTGGCAAAAGTCCCTCTTCTTGCTGGGCTGCTCCAGCAGCTCCCAGGTCCCCCTCCCTTTCAGTGCTGCTGGCCAACGCATACGGGTATTCTGTCTTCTGACACTCAAACTCCAGCTCTTATTCTTTCACATCTACCAGATCCTGGTCCCCTGTACTATAATCCATCTTCCGCAAAGATGATTAGTTTTGTCTGCTTTCTCCTCTTAATCTAATTCTGCATTTCTAGCAGGGTACCCTTGCACGCGTAGCCAGAGCTGCTGTTGCCTTTACAGACCAGGTGCTTCCAAGAGCAGGAAGCCTTCTCCTCACCTCCTTGGCCAAGATGCCAGGTGCAGGGTGGGCATCTCCCCGCACGCAGCCCAAGCCCACCCTCGCCCACCCTCCTCCAAGCTGGACCCAGCATCTTGTGATCCAAAGGTGGTCCCACCGCACATGGGGCAGGCCCACCCGCAACGCCAGTTGGACCAGAAAGCCCAGTGGGAGCTCCTTGGGTCACACTGCTCCTCACATCACCTGGGAGCCCTGCTGGTTTAGTTCGCATCTACACACACCCCGGTATGGACTGCCTGAACAGTTCTCCTACGCGCGGTTGTTGCGAGAGACGAGGCTGCAGGAGATTTGTCGGCCTGGCGCCTGCTCCTGCTGGCTTCACCCTGGCTCCACCACTCCCGGCACCCACGGACAGCAGAAGCAGCAGCCACACAGCAATGTCAGGATTTGGTACGCTGTACCTGGTTTTTATAAAAGATGTCTGTGAAATGACGCAATTTATAAAGTGAAAAGTATTTAGAAAATGTCTGAAATAAAGCTATACAGTTCATGAATTCCGGTAGTTAAAGAAAGTCATCAAAACATCTGTGCAATAGCACTGAAGAAAATTATAATAAATTAGAAAACAGGCCTGGTAAAAAAAAAAAGGTTATCAGTGGAATATAAAAAAAATAACCCAGACACACTAAAAAATGCAGTTTGGAAGTATTCAAACAAAGGAATAACGAATAATGCCTTTTTTCTTTTTAAATACAGAGCAGAGCGCGCAGCCCCCCGCCGCCATTTCCCTAGGAACGATCTTTCTTTCACTACTGTGGCTTTGTTGAATTTTTGAGTTTTCCTTGGGCAGGTGGAATGGAATTTATACAAGCGAGAAGCAACTTTTCAAAAGCTATCCAGCACCATCTCTGAGAAATAAGGTTGATTTCCTGAGCATCTTACCACCCACCCCCCGTACAGCAGATCCCACTGACGATTAGAAGAATCTGTCTACAGCCCAGTCTTTCCGCACACACCAGGCTGGGTCTGTCCCCACGAAGTGAAGGATGCCATCTCTATCTTCTGTACAAGCCAATTTTGAGAACTGCTGCAGCTGAAAGCTATAAACAAAGCCTTTGCGAATTTGACTGAAAAAAGGTTGTGAAAAAGGCAAAAAGAACCTTAGATACAATTCCTGTTATTAACCCCATATACTTGGCTAAAATTTTTGCCTACGATGTGCCTGCAATATGGAAAGGCAGAGTCTCCTTCAGACCTTAACAAGACAATGAACCAGGTGCTTCTGAAGCCTTTCTAACAAAACAGGTTTAATGGGCTGTGGTGGGTTGACCTTGGATGGATGCCAGGTGCCCATCAAGCCGCTCCCTCTCCATGCTCAGTAGGACAGCGGGAGAAAAGAAGATGAAAAACCTGTGGGTCAAGATAAAGGCAGTTTAATGGAAAAAACCAAAGGTTGTGTATAAAAGCAAAGAATAAGAAGAAGATTTATGCTCTGTGTCCCATCAGCAGCCGATTTCCAGCCACTTCCTAGGAAGCAGGACCTCAGTAGGCAGAGCGGTTGGGTTGGAAGACAAATGCCTTGATAACAAATGTCATCCCCCCCTCAGCCGTTACTGCTGAGCAGGATGTCTCAGGGTATGGGACATCCCTCTGGTCGGTCGGGGTCAGCTGTCCCGGCCGTGTCCCCCCAGCCTCTCGCCCACCCCCAGCCTGTGGCCTTTGCAGGGGCGTTGGAGACGGCCTCCACGCTCTGCGCGCTGCTCCACAGCAGCCAAAGCGCTGGCACGGCAGCAGCAGCCTCCGAGCTACAAACGCAGAGCACAGCAGCGCCCGGGCTGCTACAGAGGAAGGTAACAGCACCCCGGCCAGACCCACCACAGGCAGATCGCAACGGAAAGCAGCAAAGTGTTTCTAAAGATTTCAGTCCCTCAGATTCAATGTAGCCCATACAACTGACATTCACAATTTACTCAACAGAAATAGTTTATTTAAAAAAAAAAAATCTAAATCCTCACCTTGAAAGGTATTACAGCAGCTTTCTAATTGCATAGGTAACATTACAGCTTTGACAGCCCTTAACAAAAGGAAAGAGCCAGGCTACCAAATTATGTGCTGATACCTTAAGCGATCGCACTCCTCTGTAAGTTGCTACTAAGCTCTACACTAGAAATACACAGGTCTTGACCATTTTCGTGGAGGTCTTCAGGATGCTCAAGGCTCACTTCAGTTCCCTGCTACAGAACATGTGCAGACAAAGTAACAGCAGCCATGTTCAGCGAGAGCCAGAGAAACACGGCTGCCCACTCCCATCTCCTTGGGGGAGCAAACTGAAAACGCAAAGGCATGGCTGCAGCTGCTCAGCGTCCTGAGAGCTTCTCTGGCACGCGGGGCCAGCAGCCGATGAACTCTTCAGGCCTGTTCCTCGATTAGCTCCAACGCTTCAGAACAGCACTTCTCGGGGCGTGGGGTGTAAGGAGGTGAAGAAGAGGGAGGAGGAATAAGGTCTTGGCTCCTTCAACAGAAGGAGTAGTTCCCCCCCATGAATACAATTCTGTATTTTTAAAGCCTTGTTTGCAGAATATTTGGAAAATAGTGATGACATTTTAGGAGGGTTAGTGAAGCAGGGGGCTGGGGAAACAGATACCCAAAAAAACCTCAGCTAAGAAAAAAGGTAAGAGGCAACGTCCTGCCCATTACTGGCTCGACTGCTTTATTCTTCAGGCAGCATTCCCAGTGAAGCTGTATGGTTCTAGCCCTTACATTTTATTTACAGGGTAAAACAACACAACCCAATCTGAAGTCTTTGGCACTTCTTGAATTACAGCGCAGAATTCGTTCCCGTACACTACGTTATTTAACAGTGCAATAGTGGGTTTAGTTCTCCTAGTAGAGTTGAAAGTATTCAAACATTTTCCAGTCTCAATACTAAGAATTGTATTTTTGGGTCAAACTATTACTCGTCAGAGTTTTCAACTGTATCCATAAAAAATTGCAATTAAGTAGAAGTTCTGTTATGCTGACTGAGTCTGTGTCCATATCCATACTTGCACATTACTATGAATTTACTGCTCTGCAAAATTCAAGCCCAAGAGATGGAGTTCTCTATAAAAAATATGATTGTTATTTACATCATCAT